TTTTTGAGTGGGGAAAAAATCCTCTGACCTCCTCATGGTTCTTCTTCAGGTAGACCATCTCCTCCGTCAGGTTCTCAATCTGCATCTCCAGGTCTGCTCTGGCCAGGGTCAGATCGTCTAGCACCCGGCGAAGGCCGTTGATGTCAGCCTCCACAGTCTGGTGCAGGGCCAGCTCATTCTCATACCTGACAGCAAAGTTTGGAACAGTTTAGGAAATCAAGGCAGTCATTTGGACAAGGCCCCTGCCATCTTTGTGGTTATTCAATGCATGAATCTGTGTAACTGTTTAAAAACACTAGCATTGCCAGTGTATGTTAAGTTTTTGCTTTTGTAACTTTTTCCTTTCATTTAAAAAAAAAATCATAGTTTACTGTTGGGTTGAAGAGTAGAATGGTGAAAAAATTGTCAGGTGACACTTTTCTACTAGTAATAGCATTGCCTTCCTTGGAATAGGGTCCCCTTTGGCTGACTGCTGTGCCTTTGAACAGCAGTAGCCTCTTTCTGTAGGTGGAGCTTCTAAAGGCATCCTAAAAGCAGCTGAAAAACAAAATGATAGTTACTCTTTTTGCTTATTTCTTATGATTTAATTTAAAACCTTGGCACTTCCTTAGTAGCTTTTATCGAGATTTTATAGGTTCAAAACCATCATTACTGCTACTTCTTATGAGGAAATTTTGTAATGCAAAAAGGAAATTCATTTTTATTTCTTATGCCTGGCAGGGTCAGGTATGGGAACATAATAATAAGTGCATGGCTTGTCTTTCAGTTGTCTGTGTCATCAGGAAAACAACTGTTTCATTTAACCCTGTGGCAAAAACATTATCAATTCATGTTGATACTTTGAAAATTCAGGTTTAGGATATTGGTAGAATTATCGTGTTGAATCATGAATTCTTACAAATATGGTGCTCCATAACCCTAGGAATAAGCAGGTTAAAAGTTAAGGATGAATAATGTGAGTTACATTTGATTCTAATTACTTTTTAGAATGCCGTGGGTGAATTTGCCCAAACACTGAGTAGATGGAGCATGTGATCTTCAGAAGATTTGAAATATTTGCTATCAGTGGAGAAGACAGGAAATAGGGAATAAGGAAAAATGGTGGGAGGTGTCAGTTGTCATCAGTCTGACCCACTCACTTCATCCTGAAGTCCTCGGCAGCCAGTCTGGCATTGTCAATCTGCAGGATGAGCTGGGCATTTCCAACACTGGCAGAAATGATCTTGCAAAATAAAGAAAGACATAGAAAATGAAGTCCTAAAATACTATGACTGTACAAATAGTATTTTTGACATTAAGGCCAAGTGATGATGTAAAACTCTATTTTATTAAGCGTTCAAGGCAGTTTCACTTTTTAAGAAAATGTATTTATAAAATATTATTGAAAACTAAGAAACAAACAATTCCTACAGGAAGATAGTAGAAATAAAGTCACTTTATGGTAAATGATAAGTGGAACTAAAATTCCTGAGATGAGAAAATTCTCCAAGTACAGTCTAATTGAAAAATATCAAGATTGCAGGTGATTATCACTGTAAAATGTTGTAGTAGTAAAAAAAGAAAAATAATGCCCATAGCCCCATGCAGCGAACATGCGCTCACCTTATTCCTGAGGTCTTCAATCAGTGGGTAGTATTTACTGTAATCAGTCTGTGGCCCAGAATCTGCAGTCCCTGATCCTCGTGTTTCATACCATTCTCGAATTTTGTTTTCTAACTCGGTGTTAGCTTCTTCTAGAGTTCGAACCTTATCTAGGTAGGAAGCTAATCTATCATTCAGATTTTGCATAGTTGCTTTTTCTGATCCAGAAAGAAGACCTCCATCATGGCCAGAGGTGACACCTAGACAGACACCTCCCGGGCTTCCCCCCAGTGCCATTCCCATTCCCACTCCTCCAAAGCTATATCCCAGAGGTCCCCCATAAGCAATGCCCTGTCCTGCCAAGGAACTTCCAGAGCCACCACCAAAGCCAGAAGTAGAACCAAACATGGAAACAGAAGAAAAACCTCCCCCACAGCCAGTGCCAAAGCCGAAGGTGCTTCCCCCATAGCCACTGCCAATGATAGAAGCAGACATGCTGCCAGATCTGCCTGCCATCCCATTCTGTGAAGACAGCCGCTGGGACAGTCCTGAGGCGCGCACTGAGAGCGACATGGTGTTGCTGGAGAGAGAGCCGCAGCCTGGGGAAGGTGTTGACAACCAGAGAGGACCAGTGCCAGTGAGCCAGAAGGGTCAGCCTTTTATAAGCCATGAGATAGGCGTTGCAGTTGAAAAGCTCACTTGCTCCATTAGAAATAGGGTGCCTCCCCTACCCCTTTCCGGCCAGCTCAGCAAGTATGTGATTTATGTATAATGAAAACTCATTGATACAGAAATAATTGAATAGTCATTTCCCTTAAATATCTGTTGTACAAAAAAGGAAGTTGGGTGGAGTAGAGTTAAGTTGTCATAGGAATTTTTCTTCCTTAAATTATTTCAGTGCCTATATTCTCAGGATTGCCCAGTGTCTTCCACAGAGTAGGAATGCAATGGGGTGATTGCTGAATGGATATGTTAATGAATACCTCTTCCTAAACCTTAAGTAAGCTTCAGAATGTTCTCCATTCATCTTTCCTATCTGTTTCCTTTGGAAACCCTGTACAAACCATCCAACCACAATCCAGTGTATCTTTTAGGAGAATACAGTTTCAGAAGCAGTTCCAAAATGCGCTGGGGGAAAGGTGGGATATTTTCAGGTTGATGCTGGAATTTGAGTTTTCAAGGATTTAAAAACTTGTCCTTCGATATTGCATAGTTTCTCTTTTTTGACTTAGGAAATAAGACCAGCTGAACACTGAAAAGTGCTACTGTTGAGTAGAAAATCATAGTTATTTAAACAGTTTTTCCTTTATGCAAGAATAAAGGATAAACTGTGAAATCAGGGGCCCCTGTTTTTTTTTTTTTTTTTTATTGCTCTGCACCCACCACTAACTAAGAGCTATTCTCCACAGTGATTGGCCAATGAGCATGTTGACTGGATGTATGGATTATATAAAACTTCAGGTTTTGTTGCCATTATTATTAAGAGGAAATGTGCTGTTCAAACTAAGACATGGTTACATTTAATAAGCTAGCAAACTATTTCAGTTGACTGCTATGATAGAAAAGGACAGGTTTTGCAATATATAGAACAAACAATAAAATGTTACCTTTTAAAATTTTTTTGTGAAGGTTTTGCAAAGCATGCTTGAAAGAATTATATGTAGTGTCTTTATTTTTTAAAACCAATGTTCTTACTATCCTTTCTTCTTTGGTATATTATTTACCTTGGAAATTGATATAGTTTATACATAGGGCATGAAAACAGCAGTGTTAACTTGAAAGAAGCCTGCTATTGAAGAGAAATTGTAGAACCCGGAAACCTATTAGCACACTTCTGGGTTTGGGGGATTTTCATAGCAACTTAAATTGTGGACATTTTGATTGGATAAGAGAGAGGAAGGATTTTTCTTTTGCATATTTTCTGTGAGATGTTAGTCCATGTCTACATTTTTTCATTGTAAAAGAACTCTATTACTGGGTTTTAAAACTACAGCTTTCTCTCCTCTACTATGCATATATATTTTTTGTACATACACACATATTTGGAAGATGCAGGAAATATAAAGAAGACATAGGTATATATATATATGTATATTATATATTCGAACATAATTGATACAATATAAAATTTTAGAACTTATCTTTCTTAAGATTATATAATTAACTGTCACTTGGACTTTAATGGTTGGGTATATAGACTAGATTGTAGATTCTTGGAAATTCTTTATTGGATTCAGATTTCTAAATTCAGTTTGTTCCATATTTGATGGTAAGTAGTATTACTGGCTGATTGTCATGGCTCACACCTGTAATTTCAATTCTTGGGAGGCTGAGACTGGAGGGTGGAGAGTTTGGGCCAGTCTGGGCTATAGATCTAGGCCATGTCTGAAAAATAAATAAACTTGTTTCTGTGTATAAATGGCAGGATTTTTTGACAGACATTTATACTTAATTTATTAATAATATACATTGATGGCATGTATTAAGGACACAGATGTGTTTTGACTAGAGTGGATTTTTTGATAAATACATTAAAATTATTCTAAAGATTCAGCTCCTGCTTCTTGACAAAACAGGACTTTCAATTTTCCAAAAGGGACCTTGGTGTTCTCATAGATGGCCTCTGAACCGTCTCTTCAACTTGGTACATTTGGATCCTTTGTTTTATTTTATTCTGAGGCAAGCTTTTAAAAATATCATGAGTAATCTAGCTTCTTAAAATAAACTTGAAGTCTCATTTGAGTTAATAATAATATTTGTCATCACAAAGAAGACTTTTATAAGGCTTTCCATAGATTTAAAAATGGAGACTGCATTTATTTGGTAAAGATTAATTTTCAATAACAATATGATTGGTTACACGTGAGGTCATTGAGAGCTTACTTATTCAAAATAAACAATTCATCAAGATGTTTAGAAGTCTTGGTCATTGTTTGAGATTTTGCCTAAGCATGTATGATACTTTTTGTTTCTCTTAACTTAGCCTGATATTTTTGGGACAGTTTTCTTCAGTTGCAGAGATAATATGAGGAATAAACTCACAGCTTTTGCACAACTTGAATTATGCCAAAATGACTTGGCCTTTTTGAAAATTAACCAAGTATCTCGATCAAGCCAATATGATAGTATTTAGGTATTGGGTCTGGAATTAATTCAATTGTAAATTGTAGTCCATTTGTCTGATGACTTGTACAAAATCAGCATTCAGTACATACTAAATTGGTTGATTTCTTTCTTGATAAACAAAGCTGCTGGTCATAGTGTGTGTCATGTATGAGGAAAATTTTCCCAAATTAGAAAGAGTATTGACGTAAAGGCAAGGGACATAATATATTAATTTGAATTTGAATATTAACATATTCCAACGTACACTCTAGACACATTCAGAAGTCATTCTCATCCTAATGTTAACACATGTAATGTGCATATATTCCCGGATGATGTGAGTGTGCAGGTGCCATGTACAGAGGGAGGCTCTGCAGCCCCAGCAGCTCCATCTTCCCTGGGAGCCCTTTTTCCAGAGAACTGGTCTTTCTCTGTCCTTTATCTTATCATGGTTAGCCTCACAATGGTCAACACTTGCCATGGAACAGTGCAGACCTGTAGCTTGGATTACTCCTAGCTCAGTGCCCTTCCCAACCATCTGAATATCCAGATATTATCAGCCCAATTCCAGCCTCCTTTCAGGTAAGGTTCCAATCATGAATAGTCAGGAGCCAGAGTCACTGCCCACTGGGTGATTGGGGGCAAATGTGGAGGGGGTCACACCTGAAGCCCATGTGAAACCTCTAATAGGAATACCCAAAATCAGTTCTGGCAAATGAACAGGCTTTTTGTTGCCACCACCCAAACCTTTTTAGAAATTACTTTCCCAGGGGCAGAAATGCTGAACCCATGGGGAAACCTGAGTACAACTTTTTATCTTATTATGTAGGTTATACATGGGAGGGATACTTTTCTCTCAACCTGTACACATCACAAAGAACAAGTGGTATTTCTAAATAAAGGGGTTTCGAGCAGGAGATTTGCAGAAAGTATACATTTGCTATAAATGTGGGAAAGATGCAGTGATCCAAGACAGACTTAGCTTGATGAGAGAGTACACAAGTCTTTTGTTTCATTTCTTGAGAGAATGCAAGCCTTTTTACCCCAGTGTTGGGATGGAACACAGGGCTCGTGGTTTCTACAGGCACTGCAAAGCTGTCTATACCACGTTGTAGCCCTAGCTGTCAGCCCCAGGTGGAGTTTTTTACTAAGGATTTAAGATTCCTTAAATCTATATTTCAAGTGTTTTGGCTGCACTGGTCCTTGTTTGAATTTTTATCGGTTATTATGTACCATTTTCCAGATACTGGGTCAGGTAGATTACAGACATTATTTTTTTTAATCATTGGAGTAAACTCTTAAGGTGGTACTTTTATCCCATTTACAAATGAGCAGTCTGAGGCTCAGGATATAGTCCACATCAATGGGAGGTGGCAGAGATAGGATTTGGGTCTGCAGTACATTCTAGAGACAAAACAACCCAGCTGCTGACAGTGAAAAGATATAGGACACAAGGAGATTCTGGCCCCCCTAATTGTGAGACCAGGATTCTTCCTTGCACACCAACCAGGAGCTCTGTCTCTTTCCTTAAAAAAAAAAAAAAAAAAGCTGAGACCCAGAAAGCACCTTTTGTGGTTCATGAGAAATGACACCACATGTGAAATTCTGCAAACGCATAGGCAAATGTGTCTTCAGTTAGAGTTTTGACTAACTGTGACTCCAGAGATCCTATAAAACACAAGTTAAACTACATTTCCCACCCAGGAACTTGAACAACAACTTGGTTGTTAACTATTACTCATTCATAAGCAGTGTTCCACTTTACTGCTCCAGAAATAAAAACAGATGCTTATTGCTTACAGAGACAAAAGGAATATGCCAAATTCCAAATTGTAACAGTGACATGATCACAGAATAGGGGGATATGACTAACATGCATTTTTGAACTGGGAACCAATTTTATGTTGAAATGTCTGCTTTTCATCTAATGTTTTTATGTATATTTTAAGTAATTTTGTTCCATACCCATACATTAGGTTTATTCAACATATGTTTATATTTCTATGCATATATATGAAATTCTATATATATATGTTACTTTAGATTGTAGCTTCTTAGTAGGGACATGTCTAATTTGTTTTTATCCTGATTCCTAGCCTACTGTTAGGTTAAACTTCATCACTGCACTCTTGATGTCATTTTGCTTAAAAAAAACATAATTCTTAATATGTTTAAAAGTATAGCTTAAAATACATTTCATTAAAAACAATTATGGCCTAATGTACTGGTGTGCTTTGAACAGATTTAGTCTGGATCCAGGTATTAGTGAGGAACAGCTTCAGAAGTTGAAAAGAAAAATATTTCTTCTTCAATGGCCTTTTTTGGAGGGGGAAAGCTAAGTTGATCAGTGCTCATGGTGGGGATGGTTAGCTCAGTTGGTTGGAATATGGTGTGAATCATCCCAAATCTGGTTTAGGGGATTTAGAAGTTAACATAACTTTCTTTGACAGCTGCATAAATGTATAAACAGGTGGAGATGCTTAAAGCAAAAACAATTCTGAGCTTGTTGGCAAAGTGATTGCATAAGCTGAGGCACAGAGGGAAGTGACTGGAGCCAGGGTGAACTGTTATCAAGAATTATGTCTTTGCCAGGCATGATGATGCATGCATGTAATCCAGTACTCAGGAAGTAGAGGCAGGAGGATCATATGTTTGAGGCCAGCCTGGCCTACACAGCAAGACCTTGTCTCAAAAAAGAGAATTATCTCTTATTTTGGGTAAAGTTTGGGGAATATTTTCATGGAGTTTGGAGAATATTCAACATGGAAAAATTATGTGGTATTTAAAAATCTTTAAATTTTTATTAAGTAAAGTGTGCACTTGTCTTTTTCATGTCAGCTTGGTTGGTTTCCTGGTCTTTGCAGGATTTTCCATCTGAGCTCTTTTCCTGAAAATAACCTGCCACTTGCTGCAATTCACTGACCACTTGCACTGTAACACCTTTTGCTTTGAATGACATTTTTAAATCCTGTGAGTGAGTGGAAAATGTTAGGTTGCCTTCATTTTATAAGGTGCTTTTGAGCTGAGGGAGGAACAAGGATCCCAAGTGGGCATGAGTGAGGCTGAGTTCTGGACCTCAGAGCTCAGTGGTTCTTCATGCAGGGAAAGATTGTGGAGGTGGGATGTGGTGAGAGAAAGGAACAAGATAAAATAATATCCAGGTAAGGGCGATTTTGGAAAAGAGAAAATAAATGCTTGAAGAGGAATTAAAAAATGCAAGCTAACAATATATACACATATGAATAAACATAAAAACATTAAAAAAATTTAAAAAATGCAAGCTACTAGCCAGAGTTTAAGCTGGAATTGAATAAGGCTCAGTAAAGGCTGGCCGATGGGAGTGCCATTGGTCATAATTTGATTTCAGATCATTCTCCAGTTAAAATGCACCAGGGCTCTAAGTAGAAATAATTCCCAGAGTCCGCAAAACAAACAAACGAACAAAAACCCCCAAACCAGTTCTCTCCTGACCTCACCTCAAGGGGTTTTCTCTGAGTTTGCTGGCTCCACTTCTGCACTGGAGCCTTCCTGTAAACTGGCGAACCACTTTTATGATAATTCGTAAGTGTGATAATGTGCATTATTATATCTAAGGACTCTGAATCTCCTCTGAATCTGTGTAACTGTCAGAAATAGGATTGTGCTGTTTTTCACCTGTATAAGAAGTAAAGACAGATACAGCAATTAATGCTTTCTTTTATACAGAAAGTACTGGTAGAACTGGAAGTAGAAACCTACCATTTGGTTCTGCATGTATGTACTGTCTCACCTACTTCCTTTGTAAGGTTACTCTGGAAGAATCTAGAGATAGAGACCACAGTCTTCATTTTTCTAGTATGAGACTGAGTTAACAATAACAATCCTCTCTCTGCTGACAAAGAGTCATACTGCCACATGACAATGGTCATGTCTAATCAATTTCAAAGCCATCTGCATAGGTTTTATTATTATTATTAATTTTATTATTATTATTAATCACATTCACAGTCTCTAGTATTTGTATGCCAAAATTTCAGGTCATTTGGGAATGTGTCTTGCTAGGTGAAAAAATATTCACTTGCAGGAGTTTTTTAAAAAACATCTTTCAAAGTAATTGATTGGAAGGCATAACTTGGAAGGAAAGTAAGGAAAAAATAAGAATGAATCCTCTTCACAGTTTTGGAAAGGCAAGGGAGTGTAAATATCTTTCCTGACAAAAGTTGTGCTGAATTAAGTCATGTGTGTGATGTTAGCTGACAAAGCTGGATGTTTGCCACATTGGCTGTTATGTTTGGCTAATAAGAATGACAGTTAGTCAACAATGACTAAGGACAGGCAAATGCCTACTTCAAGAGTGAACTATGTATTGCTTGTCATTCAATTAGTTGCTTTAGACAAATAGTCCTGAGGTGGTCCAGCGTTTCTCTACTACTTGGTAACTGACTTTGGGATAGTACTTATCTCATGTCTTCACACATAATACTCATATGTAATACGGAGACAGTATAATGATGTCCAACCCTAAGAAGTTGCTACTTATTGCATATTGGAAAGTTCTTATGATTCAATTGAATAATTTCTATCTCATAGGATTATTGTGAGAACTAAAATGAAATATGTGAAATTGTTGATATACTCTTTGACTCATAGCAAATGTTCAATAAATGGTAGGTATTATTTTTAAATTAATCATATAACTATTTTCCATATAATAACCAAACCCCAAATCCTATGAATTTACAGACTTATATAAAAAATTTAAGTCCAACCAACCTATTTACTAGGATACAGTAATACAGAGTAACTTGACTTTTCCTATAAATATTCAGAGGCAGTTGTCACTCACCAAAATGCAAAAGGGGTGAGAATACAATATTTATTTTCTGTATGTGGCTTCTTTCAATTAACAAAGTTTTTGAAGTTTTTCTATGTTGTAGCATGTATCAGTATTTCATTCCTTTTTTATTGCTGAATAGCATTCTGTTGTGTAGACATGCCACATTTTGTTTATCCATTTGTCAGTTAATGGACATTCAGGTGTTTCTGTTTTTGAGCCATTATGAATAATGCTGCTGTGAACATTGTGTATAAAAGGCACACAGTATGACTGCAGTTATATGAAATATTCAGAATAGAGAGAAGAAAAGGGTTAGCGGTTATCAGGAACTGGAGGGGAATGGCAGTGAGTGTGAATGGATATGGGGTTTCTTTTTGGGGTGATGGAAATTAGATAGTGGTGATGGTTGCACTACCTTGTGAACATACTAGTGACCACTAAATTGTATATATTACAAATATTGATGTCACAGTGTGTGAATTATATCTCAACAATGCTGTTAATAAAAATAGTGAGAAATAATTAATAAACAAATAATAAATGCTCACCGAAAGAAGGAAGAAAGCACTTGATTTAAGCAGTTTATTACCAAAAGGAGACACATTCTGCCTTCAGAAGGGGCTAACTTTGTTTTTAATATACTCCCATTTCAAGCAGCCTGCTTCATTCTTATTCTGCTCAGCACTGATGATTGGAATTTGACTCAAATTAGTCAAAGAGCTGACTTGAGTTTTAGAGGACAGTAGAGACAATGGGGGAAAGACAGATATACCAGAAAGATATGAGATACTTTTGTATCTGTTATTTTAGATATAAAGATGACAGAATTGTGCTAGTCCTGAAAATCCAATGAGATTAACCAAGAAATTGGTTCAGCTGAGTATCCAGAGGCTCCCAAAAGGAGGTCTAGTAATTCAGAAACAGGAAAAAATCAAAGAGAGGTTTATTTCCAATTTGCATAGACTCCTCTGCTCTGTGAGCTTTAGTATAATTGAAATGCATAAAGTTGATATTTGAGTCTATATCTTGTAATTGATGTGCTTTGTGTGAAAATTCAGTAAAGATGCTTTGAATATTCTAGTGCTTATTGGATTTCATTTTTGCAGGCAGTTTGCAGCTCCTTCAAGTAAAACATTTATATTTAATTACAGAGACTAATAAATGGGCTTCCTCCCCCTTCTAATCACTACAACATATTAATAGTGTGTTCTGATGGCCACTTTTAGTAGGGAGCAAAAATTATAGCTATTTCCTTTCAAAACCCCAGTGGCATCTCCTTCTGGAAGCTGTTACATATTTTCTTCCACCTCTTTGACTTCAGATGACACAACCTTGCCATCCACTACTTCTTGAACAACTGTCTTAATCTTCCTGGTTTTCTTTATATCTGAATGCATATTAAACAGGAAATGTTAGTTTGGTGATTTATAAAATTCAACTTGATTGTTATTATTTATTTCCTTCTTTTAGAAAAAAATTGAACCCATTCTTTCTCTTAAATAACCTTACATTAATTTTTATAAGTCCAGAAAATATATCACTCTTCCCAAATTAGAAAATTTCTTGTTTTCCCACCCTAAATAGAAATATATGATTTTAGTTGTATTTTTTCCTTTTCTGGATCTCAAGATGTCCTAAGATAGCAATGGTACAGGTCAAGAAAACCACCCTTTCATATAAAGTGTGCCAAAACTCCTTCACAGAGTTTTTTTCTGTGCTATGCATGAGATTTTTAGAATATCTGTGTCTTAGAAACCTGCTGAGATATTTATTAGTGTCATAGAAAATATGCAAAAGTTTGCAACACTTACCTCTGTCTTCCAAATTGCTTAACTGATATTCTGTAGTTCTGTTGGGTGTTTTTAAGAAAAGAAAAAGAAACAAAAACCCCCATTAATGACATTTTGAAAATGGAGTGCCTTTTATTTTTCAAAGCACAGTCTGAGTGATGTGTGTTTAGAAGCAATTTTCCTATTTGTTTCCCTTTGACAATGCTTATTTCAAACTTGTGTGTCCTACTTTTTTTTTTTCTTTTGACTGAGATTTGAACTTAGGGTCTCACATTTGCTAGGCAAGTGCTCTATCACTTGAGCCATGCCCCAGCCCTTTTTGCTTTAGGGTTTCACACTTTTGCCTAGTGCTGGCCTCAGGCAGCGATCGTCCTACGTTTACTTCCTGAAGAGCTGAGTTACACACCTGTGCCACCATTCCTGGCTTGGTTTTAAGACAGAATCTCATTCACTTGTTGAATGTGCTAGCCTTGAACATCTGTCCTCCTGTCTGCCTTACAAATAGTTGGAATTATTTGAGGGCCGTGCCTGGCCCTCAAATGTCCTACTTTTTAACTTGAAAAATACATAGTTTTAAAACTGACCAATTATCATATGTTAGAACTTTCTGTAATTAAGACAACAAAGTTGGAATGGATGTTTAAATCTTGTGTTCTGTTGATGTTCTTGGATATAATATTTGAAGACAATTGCTATTGCAACACTGTTGCTTTACACTGGTCCATTTCTATAGATCTCTGCAGCCTATTATTTAATTTGTGAGCCCTTAGTGAGAATTTTAAAAAGTTATTGTACTTTCAATTATATATTAATCATAAAAATGAACATAAGCATAATCTGTATCATTCAGTCTAATTCAGTCCTTCTAATTCAGTCCTACCATATAGCCTAAAGTTCAAAGGCTCTACTTGATATTTTGGGTGTGTGTATACTTTTTGGTACATCTTTTTGTGTCTTTGTTGTGTGCATACTTACTCTTGTTCTAGGAATTGCATTGGTACTGGGTAATGAGTGACAGGGAGAATAAAACAATAGCACAAAGATGTGCACACACATCCCGTGTTGCTAAGAGCCTTACTTCACATCTTCTCCCTCCAGAAGGCGGCGGTAAGTAGCGATCTCCTGTTCAAGCCGGGTCTTTATGTCAAGAAGAGCATTGTGCTTATTGATCTGGTGTTCTGTGTCACTTCGGATCTGCATCAGTTGGGCCTCTAGAGAGTTCAGCATTCCCTGGATGGTGGCCAACTGGCTGGCATAACGAGCTTTGGTTTCCTCGAGGGTGCGCTCCAGAGACTCTTTCTGTGAGCACAAGACAAAGAGGGTGCTTCTTAACTGAGGACTTGATGGAAGAGGTAGCTCAAGTTTAGTTTTTTTGCAAGGGGTGGGGGGGGGCGAGAATTCCCAAGAAGGTATTCTTGGGCATTATGTGTTTTCTAGTTCTTTCTCTTATTCTGTCCATCTAGGCAGCCTCAGCCAACCAGCTAGGATCCTGAGCTCCTGTTTTTTTCTTTGTTGTTGTAGCTTTGTAGTGTGGCAGATTGTGCTGAGTTTTTTCAATATTTGCTTCCCCACCCACCTCCATCCCTTCAGCAGGTTTGGCCATGTGATCCCCGTGGTAAGCTAAGGATTACACTTCCTCAGCCCATTGAGGCCAGTCTTGGTCATGTAACTGACAGGTGACACTGACAAATGCCTTTTCCAACAAGGTGCTTTCAGAGCTATCACATATCTCAGCCATTGCTCTTCTCTTTCTACCACAACACTGGCTCCTCCCAGATCAGATACTCCTTTAGCTTCACTCCTTGAGTCAATGTCATAGAGTCACCCAGGCATTGGTGCAGGTTATCACAGCATCACTTACCATGGCCGGCTGATTTGTTTAGTCTGCAATGTCTTGAATCCTATTCTACAGCTTAAAAATTCATCTCAGCTTTTAAGATCTAGTCTAAATGCCACCTTACCTGTGTAATCTTCTAGATCTACTCTTTTATTTGTGCAGTGCACTGCCCTTTCCTTGATTTATTTCTGTCTTTTAATTATCATTACTTGTTCAGCCTGTTTTCCTGTTGTCTTTGCAAGGGGAGAGATAACTTCTTATAGGTCTTTGCTTTCCAGAGTTCCTAACACAAGTGCTTAGTAAACAAACCCTGGACTGGGCAATGGAAGTTAGATGTGTTACCATACTGAGATGAGACTGGAGCTCTATCTCTAGGTTCTGGTAAGTGCGCCTCAGTTCTGTGACTTGAACCTCAGTTCCTTTTAACTCTTCAGTGTTCACTGTGACTTGTTGCTGCAGAGCTTCAGTCTGAAAGTCCAAGGATGAAAAAAAAATAAGTGAGTAATGGAGGAAAAAGAGGGAGGAAGAAGGAAGGAAAGAATAAGAAGGAAAGGAGGAAGGAAGAAAGAAAAGAAAGAATAATGGAAGGAAGGATGGAAGGAAGTAAAGAAGAAAGAAAGGAAGATGAAAGAGAAAGAAAAGAAAGATGCATTTTTTTTCTTTCTGGGAACAGCTTCTACACATTTGCTCACACTCTAGAATTATGCCATAACCTGTCTTTCAAACTGTTCTTTAGCTTCTTGAAGGTTCTTCTGGGCCAAGGCTTCATATTTCTGCCTCATCTCATTCATGATGTCACCGAGGTTCACACTTGGAACAGCATCTACCTCCACATTGACGGTGTTGCCCAGCTGCCGGCGTAGGGCATCAACTTCCTACAAGAGTGGAAATCCTGAGTGGGTTTAGTTTGAAGCACATTCTCAGAAAAGGCTGGGCAGAAAAGACACAAGAAATCTTACGGCTTCCTTCACTGTGGATGAGTAAGTAAGAAAGAAAATAATAATTTAGGTATTGCTTTAAATAATTTAACGTAGAGAGCAATCTTATGAAAAGAAGTTAGGGCTGCCATAGTTGTTTCCATCTTCATGAAAACACTGCACCACCACCTACTTTTCTTTACACTATTGTTTTTCCTTCTCATTATTATTAGCAGAGCCATTTCATAATTTCCAACATGGCTTCTGAATATTTTCTCACCTCCTGATGCTCTTTTTTGAGGACAACCAGGTCTTTATTTAGCTCTTCAATTTGAATCTCCAAGTCTGTTTTATGTAGGGTCAGATCATCAAAGACCTTATGTAAGCCCTGGATATCAGCCTCCACTGTTAGGCGCATCACTCTCTCAGTCTCAAACCTGTGAATAAATTAGTGTGAAGATAATTGAGTCCTCCTGAAGCCATTATAGGAGAGACAGTTTAATATAATGAGATAAATTTTTTATGTTACCTCAGAAGATCAATTTCTATACTTTAGGTCTGTCTTTATATGTTTATGAAATGTACTTGAGAACCCAGAAACCAGATAATTTGTCCCATAATATAATCTTGTGATTTGCAATGTTAAATAACTTCAAAGTTTCCAAGCTGGGCCTGGGGGTGCACATTTGTGATCACAACTACACAGGAGGTGGAGGCTGGAGGATCAACAGTTTGAGGCCAGTCCTGGCAAAGATAGGGAGACCCTGCCTCAAAAGCAAAATTAAAAAACCAGTAATGATGGGATGGGGGCATAGCTCAAGTAGTAGAGTGAATGCCTGCACGTGCAAGGTCTTGTATTCAATCCCTGGCACTGCAGAAGTTTTTTTTTTTTTTTTTTCTAAATTTCAGAAAATATTTTAAAAGAAATTGAAAAATTGTTTTAATTTCTGTGTCAGCAAAAGGTTCCTATTAATATTAAATCATGGTTCCTTTACTTAATGAATGAGTATTACCCATTTGTTTTTATTACTTTGTAAAATATGCATCCAAAGTGAATTATCTCAAACAGTCACATGCTCTCTTCTGCAATCTTATCCAACCTCAGTTTTTTACAATAGCAAAGCTTAAAAAATGATGATGCCAGGGGGCACCATGATCTGGCCTAGTAAAATTAGAATTGATGAATATCATTGCTTGAATCTTCTAGTCTTCTTTCCTATTTTCTTCTTTTTAATTCATTTTAGTATTAAAACACTATACTTCTAAACCACAAAGGGCTTGTAGTGTTTTTTTT